GTAATATATTAATTTTTTGTAGTTAAAGAGATATTGAAACATCGTTGAAGATGAGAAAATGTAAATATTAAAAAAAGAGATGTAACATTTCAAAGTACGAAGTGGTAAGTAAAACTCAAATTGTGGCCAACGTAAAGTAAAACTACAAATTCTGAAACACTTATTTGTAAACAACATTGGTAGTATGGTCGACTTGTTTGCCATCCTCATCACAGATCAATATTTTCAAGCCTTTGCAATTGGTAACTCTAGACGCTGTAACGTAAAGTTGACCATGAGTGAAGACTGATTTTTTTTAGTAAAAGTCCAACATGCATTAGAGATTGACCTTGACTCTTGTTTATAATCATCTCATAAGTGGTCATGATTGGAAAATGTCTTCTTTGCAACTTGAATGATATTCTTGCATCTGAAGGTGTTAGTGTCAATCTGGGTATGACTACTTCTTGACCATCAAATTTTCCTATTAAAAACAAAAAAATTACATATTCATTTATTTTAATTTTATTTTTAAAACATAAATTTTATTTACATAATAGTACATATATACATAGAAAATCAAATTTGTTTCAAAATTGAAAATTACATTCGTTTATATTCCGTATTTCATAAAGCCAATGCATTAATATAAGTAACTCAACCACACTTAAAAAATTGCTACATACGTAATTAGAAGTAATTGGTACATTTGTAATTAGAAGTAATAAGATATTATTAAAAATTATTTCATTAACAATCAACAATTAACATTTGCAGATATTAAAAATTAACAATTATTAAAAAACAAATGATTAATAAAAAATTAAAAATATAAACTAATTTCAATTTTTTAATTAAATGAAAATCTAACAGTCCAAGAAATAGGCCTAATAATTTATACCTTCCAACCATTCATGACCCAACAACCCTATTAGATAAAATATCAATAATAAAACCTACCCAGCCCAAAAACCCATATTAATTCACAAACCTACCCAATATTACAACAAGACTATAACCTAAAGCTACACGGCCCAGCCCAACCTTATACCTAAACCTACCCGATCCATCCTCCAGTATAAAATCCCCACTTGGCACTTTTCACCGCCGTACACCCTTATTGTTGGAGACTCGTGGCTAAACACTTAGACCAAAGGTCTCCCAATCTTTTCTTCTATTCTGTGATTATGCTTTTCCGGCGGAGAAGGTTGATCTGGTGTTCAGACGTGACCGGAATTTTCGATTATAACTATCCGATTATTCCACATGTCATCCGACAACCACTAATGTGTAGCGACCGATTGCCATCGTTTTTGGTACACTTCGTCCTCAAATGTGTTTAACCAAACATTTCATGCATTTTATTTGACCACTGTTTTTGGTAATCTGTTTATACAAATTACAATTTTTTGTGAATGCATGAAATGTTCTGAACCTTGGGAGTATTTTTTATTTTTGATGCATCGATTTTTGAAATACTTCACGAAGATCTGTTAATTTTTTCATTTTTTAACCGTTTGAGGAAAAAAACATCGGCTCTAACATTTAGAGACCAGATCTGTTGAATTTTCAGATCTGGGTTTCATGTCCGATGAACATGCTATTTTTTTCATTACTGTTGGTAAAGTAACTTTTGGGTGACAAAACGTACTTCATCTCGATCTGTTGAGATTTACCGTATTTGTCATACATAAAATTGGCGGTATAGGTGAGAATGGTGATAAGAGCCGTTCAATCACTTTTTGGGATGTTGTTCACCGTTCGATGAATCTGTTATTTGGAAGCCTAATTTCTTAGCGTTTTCGGATATATTTTTATATACGTTGATGGTATATATTCACAATGCTCTGAATACAGTATACTTGCATTTTTAAATGCCACGGTCGTATGAGTACTGTATGCTATTTATACAATAGGTTTTGATGGCATTCATATGCTATTTATACTGTATACCTAAGACTACAATGTCTATGTATTCTACAATTATTCATATGCCTTATGTACTGTTAATAATCTCGTATTTATAATCTATATCTCATATATACTATGTCATAATATAATGACATAATCATATACATAATTTAAACTTTCATTTAATATTAATGCTATGTATATTAATATGAGTAATTTAATTTCATATAATAATATCAACATAAATATAAATACTATATGCTATACGAACTGTATTAATAGCCTACTTAATGATTTGTACTTGTGTACTATTAGTATAATAGAATAATTACATCCATTTTCTTTTATCTTCGGCCTAAACATCCTGAGCCGTGGCTTCTTAATCAAGCCATGAATTTTGTCACCCTGCAACATAAATTTTATATTTTAAATAAATATCAGATACGAAAAGCCAATAGCATGTAGTTTTACAATGGACTCAAACTACCTGAGAGTAAATGAGAACCAACTCTATCATCTCTCCTCTCCTGGCTTGAAGGAGCAATTCGTATGCCCTGACCACCTTCACCTTAATGGCATAAGTGTTCTTGGTATGATTAACATCTCTTAGAAAAGAGTACATTCCTTCATTTGTTGCCATTGAACAAATTGTTGTGAGAGTGGTTGATGCTGTATGGGATGCAAATTCAACTCACCGAAGCATGGTATATATACTGCGATAGGGGCAATATCTATTCTAGTTTCCAATGGGTGTTAACATCAATAACCAACAGACAACCAATAGATTCGTACAATCCCTTCGAATTTGCTTCTACACTTCCAAGGCAGTTTCCAATGGGTGTTAACATCAATAACCAACAGACAACCAATAGATTCGTACAATCCCTTCGAATTTGCTTCTACACTTCCAAGGCATTTAATATCACTGCACTTTAAAGATCATTTCTAAGATATGGGATCTCTTACATTAAATGCACCATAAAGTATAAAGCGGATTGAACACTTTGGAATTTAATATCACTGTACTTTAAAGACCACTTCTAAGATATGAGATCTCTTACATTAAATGCACCATAAAGTATTAAGCCGATTGAACCCTTTGAACTAAGTTGAAATACGAACTGCTGCCTTTGCATTAAATGTTCAAAAAGTTTTGAAAAGACGTGTTGCTACAATAATAATTATTTCTTTTTTCCCAACTCTTATAGCCTGTTTACGTGACATAAAGTAACTAAAGGAATCAACATTTAGTGCATCCTGTGCACATGGACCCTCCCTGACCTGGTGACCCGTTTTGCAACCCATCCGACCCGTATTGGCATTGGAATTGGGCGGGAAACTCAGCCAACTTTCCACTGCGTTTTGTATATAGAAAGATATAAGATATGTGAGGCGTTTTGTTCCGGGCTTAGGCCCGCCTATGCGGCGTCTTTTAAGGCCTTTTAGAACACTGATTATGGAGTAATATTAATATTTTAAGAAAGGAATATCATTTTTATCAAGATTAATAAGGGAAATAATGAAATTAGGCAACATTTGAGAAGAGAATGAGCAACCAAATTTATCTCTCTGTAATGTGTTTTGTTTGAGAATTCATAACCACACAAAGGTTTCGAGTGTCATCAACAAGCCGCTGGGGATAAGAGGGAGGATTCGATCTGCTTAAGAGAATCTCTGTAGCCATTTCAGAATCAGATTCAAGTTGGAAGTCAGGAAAACCAAATCTTTTACACCAATTCTAAGAAAGTTGCATTTCAGCCTGAAGAACAGTTCTTGCGTGAATATGAGTGAAAATCCCTGCAATCATTTCTGAGGATATTACCTCCCGCACAACAACCATCCGAGAAAGCATGATCAACCGAAAGCCTCATCTTATAGGGGGAAATGCTCTTCCAGATAAGAATTTTAATTTTGTTTCTTTGGATAGAATCAGGCCCAAATCCCTCTTGAATGAGATCCTTATTCATATCTAGGTAGGGGTGGTTCGGTATGGTATACTGAAGATTTTATCACATACCTTTACCATACCGTAAACTTTCGGTATGCAAAAATACATACCGTTACCATGCCTAAATTTCGGTATACCTTGTTTCGGTATACCAAAATTTCGGTACGGTAAGCTACGGTATCAGTAAATTATCATGATTTAATATCAAATTATTATATATCAAATGAAATATAGAAAATCAGTGTTAATAGTGATATACTAAAATTATTAATGAAATTAATTATAAAATGCCAATGATAACCTATTTGTGTTCTATTCAACTTTGAACAAAAAAATATTATAAATATGTACAGATACTTCAACACATGATATATGAAGATAACAACACATTCTGCTAAAATAATAATTTAAACAACATAAATATATTTGAAATAACATCAATCTCCAACAAAAAGTATAAATAATTCAAGAAACATGGATATAAAGTCATTATCCTTGAATTAATGTTGTGTTTCTAGTTATTTTTTATAATTTTAAAGAAATTATTGGCTTGGAATTACGGTATGACGGTATGACGGTATACCGTTTATTTCCAAAATATATACTGATACCATATCGAAGTAATTCGGTACAGTATCATACCGTACCAAAAGTGTCGGTATACCAAACACTTCGGTAAATTCGGTATTTTTCGATATGGTAAGTCCGGTATACCGAAATTTCGGTAATTTTCCCCACCCCTATATCCAGGATGTATTTTTGAGGGAGAGTAAGAATCTATTGCTGACTTTTCATCAAAAGGATTATTGTCCCAAATAAAATTGTTGTAGGCTTTCCAAATAAACCAAACAATGATTCCTCGAAGCACATTTTTCAAAGTCTCCCACAAATTTCAACCCCACAATTTTTACTTAATTAATTCACGTGAAAGTATGCTTTAACCAACCTTTTCGGAACGAAGAGAGTATTACAAAAATCAATGCAAGAAATCGAAAAATACATAGTAGATGAAAAAGTTGACCAATAAACAGAAAAAGAGGACCACCAAACAAACTCACTGGGCTTTTGGTGTGTGTTCTTAATTAGTCAGGCCAGCCCAAAAATTGTGAATAGTATTAATTAATCATATTTGTATAGCCCACTCACCAGCCTATTAACGTAACCCTTATCCTCTTACGATCCACGAGGGAAAGAGTGCAGGGTTCTCCAGACCCGATCTCGAAGAGGGAACTAGGCAACCAGCGAAGAACGTACGAAGCCATCAAACCAGATAACGAACGAACCACGTCAGGTACAAGTCCCGCGACTGAAAATCTTCTTCAGTTCTCCACTGAGGATATTATTTATTACTTATTATTAGGTTTGGACAATTTGTAATCGAGTTTAACAAATTTGATGATATCTCAAGCAAAAAAAATCGATAATATCAGTTTAATAGGTATTTTAGACGTCGGTTTTGAATTTGGGTTAAACAAATTGGCATTATTAGGTTATTAATTGTATATTTGAGTTCAACAAATGGATACTGCCACCGTACTACGGTTATTATGCTACATATAATGTGATTTGAGGAAGCCTAAGTGGTATTTATTTTTGTTGTTTTTGAATGATGGCAAAAAGAAAGCGCACAAGTACACTTCGCCAAAAGAAGACTAAAGTGAATCATATGCGGTAAGTTTATCTTGCTGCTATGAGCTATATGTCTGCTTATGTGTTGCCTTTTTAATCTTTACATATTTTCGCTTTTGACACTAGTTGTTCAAAAGACTAATTTGAGATATGAATTGTTAATTAACCGACCCATTGAACTATTGGAGGAACAGTTGGTAACAGTGTCATTGACAAAACTAATAAGGTGTTGATATTTAAAGGGTGAGTAAGGCATTACATCCATTAGCCCATTACTTGTTGCTGCGTTTGCTTGTATAGTAACAATTCCTCAGAATCCATGCCTGACATGCAATAGCTTCTCAAGGTTTTGTGAAGTTATTCCCTATTAAAAACATAACTGCCATCATCTAATATTTATATCTTTGCTGATGTATATTAAATAATAATAAATTGCTTGTACATTGTTATGTTCTGGAGCTTCTATTTACCCTTGTAATAGATACTTTTAATACTCCCTCAGTAACAAAAAATCTTCTCACTTTCATTTTTCTCCCGTAACGAAAAAATCTTCTCATTTCTAAATCTTCCCATCATACCCTCAATTGCTTTTAGACTAATACACTGTTGCAATTACTTTTTTTTGGATTTATCCTTCATTCCATCACACTTTTCCACTATCTTCCCAACATACCATCAATAATTTATACTCCCTCTGTCCCATTTTATAAGATATCTTTACTATTCACTTGGTCAACACAAATCATTCTTAATCTCTTACTTTGTACATCAAAATTTTATGAAATTTGAATTATTTTTTGCAGGTTTTGTAGCGGGTTTAATGTAGTTTCTGAATATGTTTTTTTTTCTAAAAATAATTTGAGTGCAGACAGGGATCCGTTTGCTTTATCGTCGGTCAAACATCGTAAACCGAAAAGTATCTTATACTTTGGGACGGAGGGAGTATTCTCTTTCACTATTCTTAATCTACCTACTTTTGAAATGAGAAGATTTTTATGTTACGGAGGGAGTAAATAATTGAGTTTGGTATTGCTTTATGCAGGGCTTCCAGCAAACCTCCAACTCAAAAGAGATTAACCAAAATTCAGAGGGAAAGAATGCAATGTCGTGAGGAATTTCATAAATTGTCAGGATTCGCGTTAAAAGACTACAATGATAAACATGTTCTTGTTCTGAACTAATATCTCTTTGTATTTATTTTATTCATTACTCCACATGTTCTTTAGTAAGTGGTTTTGGGAAGGGGAGAGAGAAAGAGAGAGATTAAATATGTTTTCAACTAGACGTCTTTTCAAAATCATGATAGAAGTAATGTTGTGTGATTCTCCATCTGCATAATTTATACCCTCCTTTCCAATAATTTTCTCACCATTTCCTCCTTTTACTTTTACCAAAACTTTCTTCATGTTTCCAGTTTTCCTTAAGAGGAAAACAATGATTTTATGAATGTATCGCTTCTTTCTTTTTTTATATCCCTCAACCATTCCATTCCCTGTCCCTAATAATTTTGACAACGTCAAACCGGGAATAAACTTAGAAAGTTTTGATGTTCCAAATATTTGTATGCAAAGGTCTAACATTACACTTAGTAGAGAGCAGTGGGAGTAAGCTCATTGAAAATTCAGTTGTATATTGACATTTATGCATATGTGTGTGTATGTGTGCACACTTCTGATTGAGGCAATAGGGAACATGCTTGGCGTTTTCTAGCATTTTGGGCTACGAAAGTTCTTCTATCCGGCGTGGTTATACTGTGGGCTTTCACCGAAGATTCACGGACTGGTTTCATATCAACATCTATGCTAGACACCTTGACGCCGGTCCCAGTGACAAACCACTGCTTTTGTTTGCTGAACTATATTCAGGCTTTGATGAAGAAGAAGAAGAAGAAGAGCATGTTCTTACTACATTGTCGCTTGTTGAACCTATGGGGAATGGTAATGCATTTCTTTCCCCACATCACTTCAATTTGTTCTGCCCCGGTAGTTTTCCAAATATGCAATGTTTATTAACTGAGAAACACAATTATAACAGATGATCCTGATTGGCTAATCATTATTGTTCTGAATGTTTTAAGTAATGGGTTTGGTACAGAGTCTGGTTGTTCATGCATTTCATGGAGGTTTCATGCATAATTGTCTGATGAAAGGACTTGAGGACATGGACTGTATCAGCAGAACTAGGTCTGGTAAATCAGATTGTTGTAGTTATTTTGACAGTATATTTCTTCTTCTGCTCAGATTAACAAACTGCCTTCACAGTTTTGTGAAGTTGTTCTTCCCTCAACCTACTGCAATTGTTCGGCAATTGTTTTCTTTAACCTATCATCACAATGTAAATGTTCAGTAGATCGGGACACAGTTCAACACGGGGGGTTTTAGCTGCATTATGTATTCATATATGCCGGTAGCAATATGAGTATTAGGGTACTTAGAGACCGGTTGCAAAAGATCAAAAAATGTTTTTTAGCTCTTAGCTTAAAAAATCTGAAATTGGTGTTTTCAAGTGATAGCTCCTGTCTAAATTAAGCACTTAAAAGCTGAAAGCTTGAAGCAGGTGGAAGGTTGCTTTAAAGCGCTCTTCACTTTTTCTATTACACAAAAAGAACATTTTTTACGAAACACTTGTCACTTTTACTTTTTCAAAATCACTTTTTTCAAACACTACAAGCTTTTACGTTTTTATAGTAGAAGCATGGAAGCACTCTCTTACTCTCCAATGGTTTCTTATAATTATTAATTGTTCCCCATTTTTGAACCAAAAGTTACTCCCTCCGTCCCTTAAAGCTTTGCCAAGTTTGACCATCATCGGGATTAATAAATTAAAAACTGTATGGTTGAGATTTGTGCAGAGGAGACAAAATTAATTGATTGAAAACACAAATTATTTACTTGGCAAAGTTTTAAGGGATGGAGGGAGTATATTCCAAGCTTCTTTACATATGGCATTCAGAAGATCTGCTCTCTACGGTTTGATTCCCCATCCATAGGATGTATCAAGGACACAGTTTCCATATCCCAACCACACTAGTAAATACTCCATATATGTGTGGTATCCTCTGTAGTCAAACAACCCCTTTTATTGTTCTCTAGTTGCATTGGTTTTGATAAATGTCATTAAGGGATTCTTAAGTAAATAACTATTTTGCAGGTCTGTTCAAAAGACAACGACCAAAAAGCAGACCCATGGGTTTGCTTTTTTGGCAAAATTTGCACTAAAAGATTACAATAAAAAGCACAAAACAAAGTTGGAGTATGTGATGGCCGTGAAGCACCATACTTTTGAATGCATGGGTCTTTCTATGGACTTCAGAGAAAAGTATACAACATGGGACCATATGAACTTTGTGGCTAGGTGCAGTGACAGTGATGGTAGCCACGAAGACCTGTTCTTGTTTGCTGAACTCTATTTAGGGGATGACAATAAACCTGTGCTTGCCACATTGTCACCCCTGAATGAGAATTTTACTCTTAATGGTAATGCTGCTCTTTTCTTTCCCCATACAAACTCATATGTACACAGACACCCATAATTATTATTTAGCGAGCTGACTTGGGTTTGAATTTGGTCGAACCCAAATGTGGCGTTGACCGAGTGGCTCGCTAACTATCGTCTTAACTCGGTCACACCCCAGCTCTAATGGTTCGTATGACTTGATCAGGCTTCTATTGATACGTTCGTTTTAACATTTTTAGGACCACAACATATTTTTACGGTATATATGTGATGTAGTCCCTCACCTACATACTAACTCAATTTGGTTCTGAACTATATATTGTATGTAAACCTGTCATCAACTATGATTTATTGACCCAATTTGATTTATTTGGCTGTAAATAGTCAGGATTATTTTGTTTGTCCACCAAATTTAGACTCAATTTCAGTCTTCAGCGTACAAGTTTTCTTCATTAGTTGGGAATATGCATGATGACTAAATTGATACAACAAGGCAGCATCAAAATATATGTTTCCAGTTAATCTTATAGGGAGAATGTGCTTCCATTTTCTATTGGTGGGATAAATTAGTATTGGATGGCTTCAGTTGGAGTAGTTTCACACTATTCCTAAAGCGGAATCGGCAGCATTCACAACAAGCAAAGCAAGCTCCCCTCAATCCGATGGACCATAAGAGACTTGACCATATTAGTCTTGGACAATAAAAAAATACACAATAACAAACTATTATCATATCAGACCATATGAGACTTGGACGATAGTGAAATACACATAACACAAGACATGTCTAGAATAGAAAAGATTTTATTTGTTAGCGTGAAAACATAAGTAATCGCATATTAATGTTTTCGCTTTTCTGTCATTTTTAATCGTTTTGTATTGTTTTATTGTAGAGAGTGGATGTCTCTATTGCCCAAATACCATTTGTCACCCTCATCGTGATTATCTGTATTGTTGGAAAGGAAGTGGCGGGACGCCAAGGAATCTTTGGCTCCTCTCTGGAGTTGCATAGACTTCGATGCCATCACCACAGATGAAGACATGGTAGGCTGGACGACCATATAAAATGTTTCTGACAAAACCACTGTTTTGAAGTTATGTTCTTCGGTATTCCTACTAATTTCCAGTAGTTTAAATGAATTGTATTTCCCTACTTTTGTGGAAGCAAAACTTTATTTGGTTAACTTGTAAACATTCTGAAATCTAGTTAGCACTTTCAAGTTCTGTAATCACGATTGCAGCCATGACTTATCTGAGTATTTCACTATGTTGTAAAAACCGGACCGGAGAGTGACCCGGCCACATGACCCGGTGGGTCAACCCGGTCAACGCCGGAAAACCGGTCAATGATTATACGTCTATATAATAATATTAAACATATAATTATATGTAAAATTATAATAAAAATTAGTTATTATTCATAATAATCAACTAACAATACTACTTATTAAGCATTTAATACACTCTTATAATATTTCAATGCATATTTTGATCTTATAAAAATATATAATGATATTTTTATTTTTATTGTACATCTATATTATAATTTGGCATGATGTTCATTCTTAAATAAATATATAAATATATTACGTAGTTTTTCTTTTTAAGGTATTGAAATTGCAATTTTATTGGTATAAAAAATGCATTAAAAATAAAAAAGAAATTACTTTTTTTTTGGTAAAAACACCCAAAAACTGGGTTTTACCGGGTTTTTCGGGTTTCTTGGGTCCGGGTCTTGAACGGGTTTTCCCGGGTCAGCCGAGTTTTTCCGGTTTTTGATCATTTTCGGGTTTTGAAAAAACCGAACCGGTTTTTTGTCCGGGTCACCGGGTTCCGGGTCAACCGGCCGGGTCGGGTCGGTTTTTTAAACATAGGTATTTCAGTGAATTAGCGAAGTCTTACGTATCATTGTTGGACGGGAAAGATGCGTTCAAGTGTTCAACATTAAATTTCTCTTCGATCATGACCATGTTATTGTTGCAGCTATGACCCCACTAGTGAGTTTCTGGTATACCTAAGGATGGACTGGGAGTCTGGGACGGGTCCGCCCGGCCTGGTACTGTGCAGGCCCCAACCTGGCCTGCTGACAGAGTGACATGTACTAGTATTGGGACAGGCCTGAACTGGGAGGGAGAGGGGTGTGCCACGGGCTGTGAATTGTTTGGTCCAGCCCGGCCGGGCTTGGACCTGTTCGGACCTGTAATAACAACGTTTTTTTTATAAATTGAATTGGCTGCATAGCAGCTGTTAGCTGTTGACAAATGGCTCTATAGCCGTCCGAGGGGGTCAGGTAGGTTTGAGGGTGGGGTTTAGGGGATGGGTTACAAAAAAAATTATAAATATATGTATTTCTAAACATTTTCCAACACCTATTAACTAATTCACAAATACACTACACAAATACACAATAAATATAAAAAACTAAAAATTAGAAAAGGGAGGGGCATCAAGTCGGGAGGCAAGATGAATGATCGTGTCGGGCAGGGGCCTGCCAGGATCTGCCACCCGACCACCTCCATTTGTACTGCTTTCATATTGATTTAGGGTGTAAATAATACCTTGAATTATTCTCAAGCCTCCCAACTGCCAAGCATTAGGTTTGGCCCAAAATTGTCAACTAAAGCTCCAACTTAGATTCAAAATACGGAGTTTGTGATAATCAATTGACACAGTCTCCAAAGTAAGTACAACTGCAGATAAACCTCATCTGGGTATAGAGATATCAAGTTAATAACATATATGCTTGTTAGGGAACATGTTCATTGGACAGACCCAACTTGAGGACACTGCTAGGTTATATGGCATCAGTGTTGTCCTCAATAATGATGAGGTGCTATATTCTTATACTTGAGATAATCATGGTTACTTGTATGAGAATTAATATGTATTAACATCATTAAATGTTATCTTTAAATAGATAATTATAAAGGTGGTGATTGTACGTATTATGAACCATGTAGTAGTATGTGAATTATCAAGATAGATTTTGTCACTCTTGTATAGCGAGAGAAACATATCTATTGGGCCCTTGACAAGTAAGATTAATTAGCATGACCATGCTAAAATGAGGTGTCATTTGATCAAGATTAATCTTACTTGGTAATCAAGAAATATTAATTGAGAATAACAAGGATGACACGACCTAACCTTGTCTCAATTAAGATATCGTTTGACATAAGAGAATTATTAGCACAAATTAATCATTTAAAGGTTATATCAGATTTAATTGACATTTATATATTTTTGGATAGTCATAATGCCTTGCTAGAGGCCGCTTATGATTTGTGAGGCTCGAATTAAATTCTAGCCCACTGCCAATGTTGAGGTTTATTCCTTCAACCCTCGGGTCCAACACGTAAGCCCAAGAGTTTCGAGTGGAGTGAGTATGAATAAACTAGCCCACCTAACAAGTGAGATGGATTAAGAAACATTAAGTAGCAAGTAAATGATTAGGTATTATTAATCTGTTAATAACTCCCCAATACAATACTTTTCGCTAAAGGCTCGTCGGCCGTTCGTCTTACAAGGCAGTAGAAGTGCTGCGGGTAAGTAGGCTATAAGCTAGAGTGCTAAGAATAGAAAGTTGCTAACCCTTTACAATGAAATAAATGCTGCTATTTATACCACCAATGGGCAGCTGGCTACGCTGTCGTGGAGGCTTGTGAATGCCTGGTGCTCCAACCACCAAATCTTCAGCATTAAATGCGTTTCCCGCCAGGATCTCGGTTTCCCACCTAATTAGTGGAGACGTTCGTCCAACTGGGGGAGGTGAGTCGCTTCCTGGTGATACCGCAAGGGTAGTGGGCCGTTCGTTCCTTGGCCCTTGTGGATTTGCCCGGAGGATTGAATTGCCTCCATTGGTTATGGGCTTGTCTGACGACGTTCGTCGCCATCCTAGTGGTCTGAGGGCCTGACTCACAGTCAACTGAGTAGCCGTTCGTCGGAATGGGCTGGTAAGCCAAAGCCTTAGCCAAGACGTTCATCCTTTCCAAGTTGCCTGTCAGCTTAGCCTACCCAGTTCTGTCCGGACGTACGTCCGAATAAAATGGTAAATGGGCCGAACTTTTACTTGGGCCATTATCCCAACACAAGTCCCCCACTTCTGATGTTCTGAGCATGCGCAGGACATAAAGAAGTATGATGCTCCCCAAGGGTGGATGCTCGTGACATGGTACTTGCGTTTGTTGCGTTTGTGAAGGTGGACGCTCATGGTCATGGTGCCTACCCGCTGGCGGCGGTTCAGGGATCGAGGTGACAGCTGCTATAGAAACGGTGCACTTCCCTAGGAAAGGCCATCATTACACTTCCATCCCACGCGCAGCGCGTGAGCCTGGATACGCTCCTCGCTACATGTCACCCCTTCGTTGGCCCCTGAATCGGTGCCTCCCTTATAAATACTGGGGTTTCCCTTAGAATTAGGGTTCCTGATTTCTGCTCTCTCGCTCTAGGATCTCTGCTGCTTGGTGCTCTGTTCATCCGCAAGGTTCATCGGCTTGTTCTCCTCTCTTCTCTAAGGTAACTTAGGCTTTCTTCCCTTTTTTCTGTAATCCTTTTCTGATCTACCCAACGGCCTCCATGGAAATCTCCTCGGATTCCAACTCTAGTTCTTCGGGCTCTCCCTCCGGTTCCTCCTCTAGCTCTGGTCCAGGCTCTGGCTCCGGTTCCTCCTCACGTTCCTCCAACAAGTCCAGCGTTTCAGGTAGTTCTGGTTCGGCCTCGACCGTGGGCTCCATACAGGAAGATGGTGTTCCTGATACTGCCGCCGCACTTAGCGCCAGAGAAGTTGCCTTGTCTGCAGATCAAGGGGACAACATGGTTCTGAAGGTGGTGGACCATGTGGATGATGTAGGGGATCAAAACGCGGCCCTTGGGGATGATCGTCTGGCGGACTATGACTCAGGAGTTGAGGCCGAAGATGGATCCGACGTAGAAGGGTTTGATTTGGGGCTTAAAATAGACGTGGAGCGCCATATCTGCCCAATCAAGAACGTCCTAGGGCATGAGCAAGTCTTCACGGTTGTAGCCCTTAATAAGCTTAAGGTATACTCCCCCCCTCCGCTCGTATACAGCCTCCGAGGCGCATCCCACATGATGACAAGACACCCAGGAATGATTATGGTGCTTCTGGATTCCATCGAGGCCGGGCTGCGTTCCCCCCTCCATCCATTCTATGTGGAGTTCTTATGTTGTTTCCAAATAGCCCTTGCACAACTCATGCCGAATTCCTACCGGTTTATCTCTGCATTCCTAGTCCGTTGCAAGAACAGGGGGGTCATCGCCACTTTGGACTTGTTCCTTTACTTCTTCCGGCTTACCCCTCAAAACTCTGATGGCTTCCTGAGCGTCGCCGCTCGTCCGAAACGGAGGCTTTTCAGCGGTGCACCGAGTTCTATCCATGACTGGAAGAACCAGTTCTTCTTTGTGCAGTATGAGGATGCTCGTCTGCCATTGCGATGGAATGGTTATCCACCCAAGATAGGGTCACCGGATCTGACCGACAATCTAGAGGAAGATATCCGGAAGATCTCGATGGGCGGCGTCCGGCCCTTGGATGATTTCCTCACCTTCGAGGCACTTGCCGCAGCAGGAATAGGAACCGCCCGTGTCTCTGGACTCCCGACTCCCCCATACGCTCGTCTCGGGGAACCAGGCGGTCCTATCCTCTGGGGTGAGTGTATTTTGTCAAGATCTTTGTTTGATTTCTGATGCTTAGTGTTTTTATCCGCAAGTCTGCCCCCTACCCAAGCTCAAATGAATCACGAAAAGCTCTTGAAGAACCGGAAGGGCAAGGGTGTTGCCGCCGACGCCGCCCTTGCCAAGGCCAAGGCTGTCCAAGCGGCCGATTCTAACTCCTCCGCCTCCCAGGCCGATCGTCGCACGGTGGAGGCGGAACAACATCTCATCGCCACAGTGATGGCGCAGGGGTCCCAGGCCCCCAACGTTGACTCTGGCATCCCCGAGGTGGTGGCGCCCCTGCAGACCGTCCATCCCCAAGGCGGGGAAAAGGTGAAGGACAAAAAGGCGAAAAGGCCTCGGGGGGCTAGCTCTTCGGCCCCCGAAGAACAAGAAATGGTCCTCCCTCCCCTAGGTTGTCCGGCCCATGACGTGTGGCAGGAAATTGCCTCCTTGGCTGGGGTGGATCGGAGGTGCCTCCCTGGACATCTTCGGAGGCTTCAAATGCGGCTCTGGCCGCCGCTCTTCAGGTAAGACTCTGCCTTGTGTTGAGTAGTTGAGTATTTGTAGGTTGGAGCCTCAAAATATTGATTCAAGGACTCGAAACAGCTCGTCGTCCACCGGGAATAGGTTTGACGACGGGTGCTCCTCCGGTGATGACCTGGAGTTCTATGAGCGGGGTATGCCACCTCAGCCCCCCGTCATCACCTTAATTTTTCTGGCATTCGTCGCCAGTGCCAGCGC